CTAGCCGTGCCACATACTCTGGTGACCACACTTATGTTGCTACTTCTCAACAATCTTTGGTTGGATCCTTTCAATGTAAGCTCTGTGATAAGTGTTTTGATACTCTGAGAGCTCGTTGCGGCCACCAGAGAATCCATAGAGGCAAGAATGACACATCTGCTAACATTGCTAAAAAGGTTAAGAAGGCAAAAACTCAGAAGAAAAAGTTAGAGAAAAAAAGTGTTGCTGTGAATAAAGCAGAAATTGTTGCTACCCAAACAATAGTACATAAACAGATGGATGGTGAAGGAAGCCCTAACGTTGAAGTTCAGACAGGTAAGTCCATACCATGAACTTTATTTCTGTTACAATTGCTTTAATTATCAGTTTTGTTTATTATTTCATATTCTATTTTTGTTTTATAATATTTTGTTATGCATTCTGTTTTATTTTCTATTGATTTATTTTTGCAGTTTATTATAAGTTATAAGTTTCATTTTTAGGTTTCCAAACAGCAATGACAGCAACTGATACTAAATCTACCAAAAGTAGATATAGTGTAAAACCTACTAGGTCATACAGAAAGAAAGTGTTAGTATAGATCTATGTTTTGTCAAATGCATGTTATAGATTTATCATTGCATTTCTTACATTAGAAGTACACATGCATGCTAATATGTACAAGGTTTATCGTATATTAAACTTTCATCAAAACAGACTTTTAATATGGACCATTAGTTTGAAGACGTACTTTAATGAATGAAATACAAAATATGTAATCAGATAATAGATTAGTCAGCATAACCCTTTTTTAAGTAAACTTATTTATTAATAATAATACCATGTAATCAACAGTTTTGATTTTTTTTGATATAATTATATCTAATGTTGGTTTAATGTTGCTATTTCAAATTTTTATTTTTATGACAGTGTTGGTGAACACTTGGCTGCAAATAATAAAAGTACTGGAAATGCTGTTGCTAATTTGTGTAAGTATTTTGTAAAATGTTACATTATCATGCTGGGAGTATTTCACATATCCAAGAAGATAGACATTGAATTTGTTGTATACGCATGAACAGACATACCAAGATTACAAGTTTGGTTTATAGAATTATGTGAGAAACAAAAACAAAATTTGATATTTTAAAATCTGTTTTTCAGGTGATCTCATGGAGCAAACATCACAGAGTGCTGATGATTCATTTAACAATGGTATTGTTATACTGAGTACAATTTCTAAGGGGCAAAAGAGACAATTGGAAGAAACAGAAATAGAAAGTCAACCTAAAAGGACCAATGTAAGTGAAGACGTTACCATGGTTGCAAACAGTGATGACACATCTAAGTTGATCTCATTCAAGCAAGGAATTAAACGATGCAGAGATGAAGATGATGAATGTGAACCACCAGTCAAGAAAGCAAATATTGGTAACTCAGTTGGAGAGAATTAAATACATGTGAGTATAATTTAATATTTGATGAATGATTATGCCCAGGTACACTCTCAATTGTTGTCTTTTCATTCATAACTTTGAAATCATATACTGTATTTGTATCTCTAACAGAATCACACATGAACCAGTGAATTGCACTTTTTGGATCATTTTGACACAAATTACATTTACATGCGCTGCTGTAAAAAATCCAGTTTTTACTGCACTTCCTTTATAAATCTACATTTTTTCAAGTTTTTGTTTGTCTGCTTACAAGAATGTCCAAGTAATGCTTTTACAATGTAATTTGAACAAATAAGTTCAGACAAACAAGCTTGAGGGCGCTATATTGTTATTTAATTTCTGGTCATCTAGCAATGAGATGCTTTAATTGCCATTAATTTTTTTATTTTTTTATTTACAGAATAATTACAGATACAGAAGAAGTTTTTACAGATTTTTACACAGAGAGGGGAAAGGAATCACGGAAATTCAACAGAGTACAGACTTTATTGATAATATTTTTTTGAGATTGGCAAACAGATATGGAACTCTACACCTTATTGTGGTTATGATTTATAGCTGATTTCAGGGAACTACGGTTTTTATAATTCAAACTTTTTTAAAGAAATCTTTTCTTATGATTTACCAGTAATATTCTGTGTACACTTATAAGCACTGTTGACACATATAACATTGAACCATAGTTTAACATTCAGTAGTGATGACATCTATTATTTGCTATGTACATGTATTTATGTACACAACTGTGAAACACTATGATTCAGCCACTGTCTCTGATGTTTTTGGAGCATATACCCAAAATCTGTTGTCATTTTTTCCATTCATTTGTCAATACACTGTATTTATAATTGCCAAAACAATTTATTTAAAACTCCTGTAATGTTTTTAACAAACAGCTTCAGA